TAAGCCCATGCTCTCAACGATTCAAACCCGGGCGCAATGTATACACTAGAAACGAAGCTGTATGTGTAGGTTATGAGGTACTGGAGCTCGACAGGAAGCTGTATGTGTAGGTTATGAGGTCTGTACATTAAAATGGGGGTTAAGAGTCCTTTGGGCGAAGAAAAATGCACGTACCTGCCATCGAGCTTGATAATGCGGCGTTTGGCCCACCTCTTAACCCCCATTTTAATGTACAGACCTCATAACCTACACATACAGCTTCCTGTCCAGCTCCAGTACCTCATAACCTACACATACAGCTTCCTGTCCAGCTCCAGTACGGTCCTCCAGTGTGGATTCTCTATTATCACCACTCCCTGTCTTACGCTTTGCCTTCCCTTAACCAGATTTACAATATCCACAACGGCTTTACGCGTTGAATTCGTTGCATAAGGACGTAAGGACAGAAGGGATAGGAAGGGCCGACGACGTTAGCCGCTCTCTCCACATAAGCGCGCTGACAGACCCGCCCTTGGTTTACATAATTTTTTATATTTATATAGGACGATTCTGTTTGACGATACAGGTAGGGTTAAGGTGGATTACCACTTTAAAAAATCACCGGTTAGGGAACTGCCGATTGTAGAGGGTTCAACCTCCTAATGAGTGGGTGAAACTTCGACAGCCAGGGGACAGTCTGTCACAGCCCGTCGTTTGTTGTCCTGTTCTCCCTCTCTGTCTAAAGGTTTACCGGCCAGTTCCTCATCCTGGATTCATCTCATCCGCCACAAGGTCGACCGCAGTCTGTCACAGCCCCTCGTTTGTAACACGGTACGACCGCAGGACGGCTCTACCGACCAGGGACTTCAAGCAAACTAAACTAAATCGGCCGTGGGGAGCCGAAAGGTAATTATCCAAGCGAATATGCGAAAACTTCTCCCGTGAGACCGGGGCAAGTACGGAGGCGATCTGAAGCGCTCTTCGGCCTAACCAGCTAGCTGCTAGTACACCTTCTCGAAGAAAGGGGGAGGAAGAGAGCTATTCATATTCGCGTTCGTCTTCGCTGCCGAGAAGGGAGTCGGGAGAGCGAACTACCTCGGAAGACCAAGGTCGAGCCAAGAGAGAGAGAGAGAGAGGGTGAGGTTAAATTAAGCACACACACTCTGAGAGAGAGAGAGATGGGGGGGGGTTAAATTAAGCACACACATGAGAGAAAGAGAGAGAGTTGGCTGGAGCTTGATCGTCCGAGGTAGTTCAGAGAGAGAGAGAGAGAGAGAGGAGGGGGGAGGGGGCGGATGTGTGTGGGAGAGAGAGAGAGAGAGAGACTTAAAAACATATTTACCCCCCCCCCCCC